TTCCTACAGCTATGGGTGTCTCCGGCTCCGTAGGTTCCTGGAGAGCAACGTCTTCAACCTCCAGAGCTCCGAACCGGTTAGCGACTGGTACCGGCGTGGGCGCTTGGGTCGTCGCCAGTAAGCGCACCCCCTTTCTTACTGGCGACCAGCGTTTGGGTAGCGCTGTCCACCCTCAGTACAGTCTTTAGCGAGGTGGCCTGGCTTCCTGCAAGCAAAGCAGTGTCCCATTGCTCGCAGTTGGACACGCTCTTGGTCCGTCAGCTTGCGGAGGCCCTGACCACGGAAGCTGGGCACGGAACGCGACTCTCTACTGGCTGGTGGCCCCGACGCCGGTGGCCCTGACGACTGCTCCACGGTGTTTGCTGCCATGACAGCTTGCTCCAGGGTACGTGGATGCTCACGCATGACCTGTCGCTGGATGTGCGGCACTAGACCCCTGACGAACAGCAGCGCTCTGGTGTGGTGGTCGATTTCCGGCACTTGCAGGCTGAGGCGAGTGAAAGCAGCAATGTATGCGTCCAGCGACCCGCGCTGCGCTGCGGAAATTAGTCCCATACGCGATGTTTCCTCGTTGTGCCGTGGTCCGTACACATCGCCAAGTGCCGCTTTCAGAGCAGGCCAGTCGGAAAACACTTGGTTAGCTTCTAATGCCGCTATCAACCAAAGACGAGCGTTTCCAGTCAAAAATCCTGCCGCGTAGTCGACCCTCTGTGCCGCATTTGGGAGTGCCAACGACCGTAGGGCCATGTCCATTGCAAACGTCCATTCTTTGAATGTAGCGGAATCTCCTCCAAACACAGGCGGCTCTTTCGTAAGGCGGGGTGATGGCTCCCACGGTTCCGAGTTCGGATGTATCGTTCGGTTTCCTTGGCTAACGCGCTGAGCGGTCTTGATATCGTTTATCAGCCGAACGACGAGTACGAGGAGCGTAAGCAGAGCGACCAGAACACCTGCCAAAAGCAGAGTAGTAACCATCCTCTGCTACCAGTGTAACAGGTTTAATCAAACTTGAAAAGTAAGAGGCCTGGTTGAGCGTGCCTCGACCAGTTATATGCAAAATGTGATAGTATACATGTGGCAATGGCGCCAATGAAGGTGCTAATAGACAGGCGTAAGACGCATGAGGTGCGAGGGAGTGTAAAGTTATAGAGAACAGGGGAAAACTGTTACACTGGTGGTGATTCACCCGCCTGTGAGGAGTCTCTGCGTAAGTGGAGAAAGGCTGGTTGCCCGGGAGATTTCAAGCTCTTGGACATCAAGAAAGCGTATCTCCAAGTCCACGTCGCTAAGTAGTTTCTGAAGTACCAGACTGTCCTTTGGAACGGAAAGCCATACGTGATGACACGAATGGGCTTTGGGCTCAGTATTGCACCGAAGTACATGGGCATCATCACCCGTTATGCAACGCGCGGTTACCCGAAAAGTTGACAGCTACATCGATGATATGCTGACCCCGTCAAATTGCGCTCACGCCGGTGCCAAGACGATGCTTGAGTACAGCCTGCCCACGAAGCCCGCCGAGCCGCTGGAAGAGTCGAGAGGATTGGGCCTGCAGCTGTGCGATGCCGGAAGCGAGGTCACCTGGCGACGCCGAGACGGCAGCGACCTCCGTGTACCGGAGGTCTTCACGAAGCGTGCCATATTCAAATGGTGCGGTAGGCTAACAGGTCATCTGCCAGTTTGTAGTTGGCTTCGCCCCGCCTGCAGTTACCTCAAGGATAGGCTACCGTCTTAGCCGTTCTATGCTGATGTACTGATGGTGATAGACTACTGTGTTAGCCTTTTTGAAGTGGACGGACGTGGTGGTTGAAGTGGACGGACACGTCATTGAAGACCGATCATGGCTTCCACCAGCTGGAGACACGACATATCAATGTGAGCGAGCTGGAAGCAACGATCAAAGGACTCAAGCTCGCCGTTCGTTGTGGTGCTACAAAAGTGCGGCTCATGATAGATTCAAAGTCGGCCACTAGCTGGCTGAACGATGTGGTGACGAACTCATACCGTGTTCGTACCAAGGGCCTTCACGAAGTGGTGTTGCAGTGACGTCTGCAGATAGTGTCGGACATTGTCATTGTAGCTGGCCTCTCTGTGACAGTCGTATTGGTCCCGTCTGCCCAGAATCGAGCTGACATCCTAACGCGTGTCCCCGCTACCTGGACTGCTCACGGCAAAGCGCAGTTGAAGGAGAGCAGCATTGCAGCAAGCCTCGTCCGTGGACCTGCTGGTGGTCCAGTTCAGCAACACGACATTGCGGCCGCTCAGCACACCGATGCACTGATCACTGAGGTGATCTCGCAGATTGAAGGAGGCCGCCCACTTCATGAGTTGTTCACGAAGGTCGGTTCACAGCTTGTGATCGTGAATGGCCTGCTGTGCCCTAGTGTGAAGTAGTTGCCTATCGATGGCCTCGTGGAACTTCCTGTCGTGGCATCGAAGCTAGTCGCTGATATATTGTCTGCTTCACATACGAGAACAGGTCATGGTTTGCGGAATACCATGTATGATGTTGTTGGTAGCCGCTGCTACTTTCCGTATATGGCTGCCCAGTGCCAGTGGCAGGTTCAGTAGTGTGTACAGTGCAAAGCAGCTAACAGACGCCGCGAGAAGTCTATGCCGCCTACGCAAGCAAGCATCTCAGGGAGCCCGTGGTCAGAGGTGGTCATAGACATACTTTAAAACTTGGTGCAGAGCGAAAGTGGCCGCTACCATTGTGTGCTAGCAGCAGTCGATTCGTTCACTAAGTGGGCCGAAGTTATCCCGTTGGCTCGACATGATGCTTCCGCTGTTGCCAAGGCGTCCACGGCGCTGTGTAATCTCTGGGGCCCGCCAAAGGTTGTCCGCATGGATAATGGTTCTGAGTTTCGGAACGCACTCGTTGAGTCTGTCTTCAAGTACTTCGGTGTCCGAGTGAAGACAGGAGCCGTCAGACACCCACAGTCCCAAGGAACTGCTGAACCCTTCAACAGGACATTGCTTGGCCTGATTCGGAAGTTGGATGACAAGTCGAGCACTTGGAGAGACGACCTGGATGTCCTGCTGTGACTATACCGACAGCGACCCCATGCCTCTACCCGCGTGTCGCCAATGAAGGCTGCGATGGGATGAAATCCGGACTACGTCATCGAAAGTACTGCCGAATTGTGTGTCAATTGACTTATCGGCGTGCTGTGTGACTCCGAAGTAGCGACAAACTCGGCCATTTGAAAATAATCTTAACCGTCCACCTCTCCACACTGTCCTCTTCGTTATCTACCTCTGCTGGGGTACTCTTATTGAGGAAAACAGCTGTCTGGAGGATATGCAACATCTACTCAAGAACGAACTTCCTCACTATGGAGTGGTGTTGTGACTGTGGGCCAAGAGTGCAGTGTGGAGAGGTGGACGGTTAAGAGCAGTGTTGCAACGAATAGCAAAATCACGAAGGAATATTCTAATGAATAAGCAACGTACAACAAAACGAATATTCTACTATTCTACCCAAATAGACGAGCCTATTTCAGCACACTATGTATGCTTCTTTGTTATTTGAACCAGAACGCACTAAAACATGACCACATCTTTTGTGGAAAAAGTCGAGAAAATTGCAATTTGAATTCCGCGGCAAAAAAATACGAGTGGCGAGTTGCTGTTCTTGTGCTCCTCGCGCTCAGTAGACTGGATCTGTTCTGGATGCAACATTTTCTTGCAAGTAAGTTTATTTGTTTGAGTTTGTATCCCATGTTGCGCTGAGTCGCCTAAAACGGATCGTCGTCGATGCATCGAAGGAAGAGCCTAATGACTATGTACTGCGGAGCGGAAGAAGACGACATCCTCGCGCTCCATGCGCAGAAATGTAGGTTTGCAGCGTACCGCAAACCGTAGTTATCGCTGACAACCGCAGTCCGTGCGCCAAGTTCCAAAAAGTCGTCTAAAAGTTGCACTTTTATTTGTAACCGCGGGAAATTTGAAGACGAATTTAGTGACATACCGAATTATTCTCAATTTTCGACTATTGGTTACCTCGAGAATACAATCTTATCCTCCTATATCGATTGCTTTTGCGCCGTTATGGTGTTATAAGGGTGAGCGATGAGCACATTTTTCGAAAGTGCACCTCGATATTCGACATCCCAAGTCGTTGCGGTGCCTTTTTGTTTCTCTTCTCAATTTCCCATTTCGTAAATACGTCGCAGGAGATTGTGGGCCGTCTTATTTTGCAAGGCTCTATCTCTGATAAAACTACGCGAATGGGCGGACAGATGGTGTTGCTATAGGCCAGTAAAAAACCACGAGTGTCCGCACTGTGACCAAGTCCAAATGGGCCGCCAAAGCCAGGGCTCGAAACTGCATCCTGACAGGCAATGCGGACCATGTGTAGCCTGCCAAGATGTTCTCCTTGATGGCAGATATGCCCACCCCGATACCACGCAATGCTGGGAATATGCACATCACCCTACAATACCACGAAATGCATGTATCTGCAAGAAATGCATGAAAAGGCTCATAAGTCATTCAGCGGAGCCAATGCCTGTCACTGACAACGTGCATGCCTGCACAGCATGTTGCAGCAGCAGTACCAGCAGCACCAGCACCAGCACCCGCAACAATACCAGACTGCTCAGTAGATGGTTGTGATTTGCCACGGCATGTCACAGTTTCATCACAAGCAGTAGAGCTGGCCGAGAAGCTTAATGTGAAAGTAAACGCAAACGATCAGCCAGCGGGTCTCTGCAACCGGCATAACATGCAGCTACATGACAGCAACAGGCCCACATGCACCATGTGTGGCGCACAAATAAGGGAAGTTAAGCGTAAATGTCCGAACGTCGGAGCAGTTCAGCGTCAGCTGCACACTGAGCTTGGTCTTACGGTCACCGCGGATAGTGCTTTTTACCTAGCCTGTTATAAAGGCCAACTGGATATGGTGGACAGTCAGACTACTGACTTCAAGCTGGAGAGCCTGGTGCAGAGTATAACAGACGAAATGCACCAATGCACCTCACACGAGGGGTCCGCATTGCTGGCAACAGCAAGATTCGTCTGTCTTGCATTCCTCGAGAACCGTTCTCTTCTTCTGGCAACAGCTGCTGATTTCTTCACCATCCATCGACTGCAACAACCGGTGGCTACTGTCCAGCCTTATTTCGAAGCTTGGCGCTCATCTCAGTCACGGGTCATATGGTACCAGTAAGAAACGAGGTACGCTCCTGTATCGTACAGGGTGTGACACAGTTCTGTGCTTATACAATTCCCTCGCCGTTGCACGATCCCAGACCCTGAAACACAGAGCACAAAATGAAACCCAGCACACACAGCACACAAGCCAACCCAGTGGCCCATCATCCTTCGTATCAGAGCTGTCGGCTGCAATGCACTCATAAATCAAAAGTCAAGCACAAGAATTCAAGCACAAAGAGCATAACGACCTAACTTCACTGTCGGAAATGAAGCTGGACGCAGTGGTGGATAGTGTGGACAGTGAGTTGTGGGGAAACATTTGGCTGATGATGTACGGCCAATCGGAGTCAGAAGGAAGTCAAGCATCCAACCACCGTGCAAAGAGGATCCGGTGCTTGTTTGTTCTATCATGCATGATGCATGCAAGCACACCAGCATGCACTTACCCTTTCCAGCTTGTTCTTTCGGACTTTGTGGATGCACATAGCAATTCCAGCGAGCTCATGCGAGTACTAGCACGAGTCGGCGCAACAGCAGGTGGCGACTCCTACAAGCGATATCAAAAGACCATCATTGATAAGAAATCAGAGCTCGGAATGAACAGTGAGATACCTCACGCAAAGTTCTCCATTGCAACAGTGGAACAGAGCATCACACCAAAGCCCATCAGTGGCAATATCGTCGCGTGCGACAACATAGACCGAGTGCCACATCAAGGATTCCGCTGTGCATCACAGCCTGCCAACACGAGTGAACCACAGGGGATGCGAGGCAGGCTGAGGTCCCGTGCAAGAACAATGATTGAAGGCCAGAAGCCACAAGTCGACCACCAGAGCACGCAGAGACACTTACCTACACCCCAGTCACAGCTGGATGATGCCATTCAGCCTGATTGGCCCACTGGACCTAGTGCTGTTGATGACGAGCGCGCAAGACCATCTACAGAAAGCACAGAGAATACAGAAAATACTGCAAAAACATGTGACACAACTATCACACATGATCAAGATAAGGCTGCAAGTACAGAATGTTCAGTATGCAACACCCAACTCGCAACCCACGCCAGATGACGCGCGCGTGTCTGTGTGTGTGTGTGTGCTTCTATGGCTTCTGCTGTAGCATCTTTATCATCGCCTCCGGCGATGGGCGTCCAATGGTCCAATGGTGTGTGTGTGTGTGTGTGTGTGTGTGTGTGTGTGTGTGTGTGTGTGTGTGTGTGATACGTGTTTGTACCTGTGTGTGTGTGTGTGTGTGTGTGTGCGCGCGCATGCGCGTGTGTGTGTGTGAGTGTGTATATGTGTGTGATGCTGAATTCGAAGACACATGCTCTCACAATGGATTCGCACATGCTGCGGACCCTGCGTCTCCAGCGCTTGCTTTTCTTTCAGGCCCTGCACTTCTGTGCAGTTGTGCTAAACTACATAAAAAGTTTCTTTGACTATGTACTCCGACTATGTACTCCATCTATAATTATGTAATGAACGTCCTACCATGGTACATACAAAAGAAAATGTTCCACAGACTACCTTCAGCCAGAACTTTAGCAAACTAGATCAGCAGCCAGGAATACTGCTGGATTTTGATTAAAATTTGATTTTGATGGTGCACAGAGTTGAACCAAGGCTTTCCATCTCGATTTGTTCGCTTTCTAACCTTCGGAACAAAAGATGATATGGCTGTGTCAACTAGTGTTCGCCAGGAGACCCATGCTTCATCTGTACTACCGGCTTCTTGTACAGCAGCGAGAAGAGGGAGGCTCCAAAGGTGGTTATTAAGTGCGGGCCAGTCTGTGGCTGCATAGTTGTTAACGAGCAAATCAGAGTGCACTGGTTGCTGGGAACGAGTCTGTATTGCGAAATCAAATACCACAGGACAGTGATCAGAGGCAGGGGAAGTGTGGTGAGGTTGTGGATGAGGAATGGTTGGTTACAGAGAACAAGGTCCAGGAGAGAAGAGCTCTGACCTGCGGCGGAGAAACGTGTTGGTTGGTCGCGTACAAGTTGTGTAAATCCAGTATCATCCAGCAGTTCGACAAGGCATCTTCCAGCAGCAGTGTTCGGATCCTGCCTATACCATTCATTGTGCCGGGCATTAAAGTCACCGAGGATTATAATGGAAGCAGTAGTGTCCGTAATGGAAGAGATGGACTCACGCAAGCCAGAGAGGAAGGTTGAATGATCCTGCCTTGTTGGCCGATAACAGCAGAAAATATAGACATCTTTGTGGCCATTTTTAAGTTGAATGCATAGGATTTCAAGGTTGGTGTTGGCAGGCTCAAGGTCTGCTCGTCTGACGTAGGCGAGTCCTGGTCGGAGTAAGAAAGCAACACCACCGCCACGCAGAGCGACATGAGATGGGCGGTCTCTTCGTACTATGTCAAAAGCGGCAGGTGGCAATAATACAGAGTTGATAAAATCTTGGCCCCAATCACACGACTTACAGAGAAATTCCGTATAGATGTCGAAGACAAAACAGCAAGGGGACTAGTTTGCAATGTAGAGGTGCCCAAGAAAATAAGCAGCCAAAACGTCCTTGTTCAAGCACAATTACTTTAGTGCAAAATTCCACACAATTCGACATACCTCCACGAAATTGTGGGCCGCTCCATTTTGCATAGCCTGATTGGGATGTGCTTTGGGAATCCAAACCCAAATATATCTACCTTTGGCTTAGAGCATAAGCCGAGAGTGTCCGCTATATGCTATCCACTCCGGCACGACAAGCAAGTTGATGGTACGATTACGACGAAAAAATATATAGTGCAAACACAGGTCTTCATGGTCTACAGTTGGGCGCAACGAACCTCAGCTGAAGTGACATAGGTGACAAAGGGACATACCTCAGCAGCAAACCAAGTTATGAACAAGGATTCCTCCAGCACACGCCAGTTCAGATCCAAATAAGGTTGCAAATTCCCAACAAAATGTCGTCGTCATCTTTTTGCACCTCGATTTTTCCTGCGGTTGCAAATAAAAAAAACAGGCTACTCAAGGGCTTGGCGCACGGACTGACCGAGCAGCAGGCAAAAGCCACGCGCGTGGCTAGGCACGCAACAATGGGGTGTCGGGCATACAATGGCGGGAAGCCGTACTGGGTAAAGCCCAGGCTGCACCACGAGTACGAGTACGCCCTTATGCGCAGGCGAGACTACCCCATATTTGCATAAAGGTATCAGTGCTACTAAGGCTGTGTTTACATGAAGCGTTTCAACCCGGGTTGAGTTCGACCCGGGTCAGATTTCAACCCGCCATGTGCATAAAATGAATGGCGCGTTTACATGACGCATTGCGCTTGACCCTGGTTGAAATTTCGCCCCGGGTTGATTTCAACCCTCCCCCCAAGCCCAGGGGAGGGTTGAAATCAACCCGGGTCAAGAAAATCGTACAAACGTACTTCTGTGCGTATCTCGCGCCAGGTTTGAACAGCACTGCACATGTAAATTTCGCGCGAACGGATTCACGTGACCATACAGGACTGTAGAAGTGGACTTTTGGCGGCATATCAGTATTTGACCCGGGTCAACTGTCTTCATGTAAACGCTCTCCTCTTTTGTCTGTCGTACAGACTTTCAACCCGGGCTGAACTCGACCCGGGTTGAAACTTCTCATGTAAACACAGCCTAATGCGATGTTTACTACAAGCAGGGCTCATGGCGCCAAATCTCTATAATAGGAAGCAGTTCCTTTCATGGCAAGGAAGGACTCCAGCGCGCGTACTACGCCTCAGCCAAGGTACAGTACTACAATTGCGCTCGGTGAAATCCGGCCCGAAGTGCAAAGCCGGCGCCGCGAAGCCAGCTCCCATTTCATCACTGGCGATTTGTGTGTTTGAACTCAACTGTACGCACCTCGTGTAAAATTTCGGAGTGCACGTGTTGCATGCTAAAAACAGTTCAAAATTTCTTTCATTAGGGACCTTTCGCACCACACGTACGGGTACGAAACGAATGTTTATTCGTCACCTGTGTTCGAGGATTCATCAGAGTCCCTGCGGAGAGCTCCTCTTCACGAATGGAAGCCTCTTCATTCGTGGCACGCTCCGAATCCGTCACGTACACATGTTTTGCCAGGTACACATTTTCCCTTGATTCCATGATCCATGCACGTGTGCATGTAAACACCCGTACGCCAAGCTACCGGCCGTAGTCGTAGTTGCCATGCACATTTGCATGTTGTGTATACTTTATTTATAGTGGAAATCAAAACAGGCAAAATGCCTAATAACATTGGACCCACTGTGAATAACATGTTAAAGGATATTGTGGAAAAGTAGATACAAGAGAAAAAGAGAAAGGAAAGAAAAAAAACCGGAAGGTTGGTTGCAACGAACAGATATCAATCCAGTGAGCATTGGAAAACCTATGTCGCTGATAATATATACTGCAAGGCTTGAGATTTAAAATCCAAATACCTATTTGAACATTTTGCTGCTGGTGGCAATCTATTCCACATAATGGCTCCAGCGTGCGTTAGGCGCTTAGCAGAACAAGCAGTGCTAGCAGGTGGAACCACAAGCAAGTTGCTTTGGCCTCCCTGAGTGCGAGTTGAGGGCACAACAGCAAAAAAGGACTGAAATAGGGTGCTACATGCATCATGCAAACATCGCCAGATGAAACAAAACATACTCACAGAAACCTGTAGATCACATACATGCATTCGATTTAGCAGGGGAGCAGTTCTGGCATGACGACTTGCGAAACCTGAATCTGTTTTCAACGAAACGATTACGAGCCGAATCAAACTTTCGTTTCACATTCGATTTGCAGCAAATGCGAAAGGTCTCTATTCACTTCACGGAGCACAGCTCATGAAGAGATAGAGAAGAAAGACATGGCCATTCCCAAAATCTCGTACAGAGTCCACAGTGCAGACAGAACAGCAAACAAAGGACACACAAACATGCTCCGCAATCCCATTCTCGACAGTTTTCTTCGCAAGCCCTATTCCAAAATGGAGAATAATGAGTTATTTGGAGGAAATGAATTGAGTAGACGAGAAAAAATAGCGACCCTCTACAGAGCAGGTCATACTTCGAGACAAATTATGGACATAACCGGTTCCAAGAAGACTCAGGTAAGTGAAACAGATCATCAATAATGTGATAAAATAGAGAACAAATCACAAAACAATCTTCGATTCTATTGTCCATGTTCAGGTAAAGGACACATGCAATCGAGTTGAAATTGGAAGATGCGTAGCAAGACAGGCAGGCAGCGGAACAATCCCGAGACTCTCACCTGTGGGCATGGAGTTTGTTGCTGATCACATCGCTGCCAATCGCTTCGCGAGCAAGGAGACGATTTCTGAGGTTCTGGACACGGAGCAACCTGGTGGGGAAATGGCAGCCCCCCGGCACGGTACACAGAAGCCTCAGACGGAATAATGACAGGTTCGGGCGGCCGGTGCGTAAGTTTGTTTTGAAAGAAGCAGCAAAAAACAGCCGGCTAGTATGGGGAATTGAGCATCGCCAGTTTGACTTTGACCGCGTTGTCTTTGCAGACGAGGCATGCTTTGCGTTGGATCGTAACGGACGTGTTATGTTCTGGTACCCGCGGGACGAGAAGCCAATAGTCGAGGTGCCACACTATCCAGCAAAGGTGCACGTTATCGGGGCCATTTCACTTTTCGGAACCGTTCGGCATTTGCCCTTTGCTCCGACATGGAGTGCAGCAACGTTCGCCCAAGGAATGGCAGCCGACATTGTACCGAGTGGCATCGGATTCTTTGCAAACGAGTGGTCCTTGCAGCTCGACAATGCTACCTCCCACACGTCAGCTCAAGCACAGCAGGATCTTCTCGATAGCGGAGTACCCAACATCCTGTTTCAACCTCCCGGACATGAATCCAATTGAGAATCTGTGGGCTCTTCTCAAGAAGAGAATAATTCCACCTCGCTGCGAGAATGCTGACCAGCTTGTGCAGGCACTGCACCTGAAGTGGGACTCGTTGGCTCCTGACACGGTTTCCCCATGCGTGGAGTCACTGCCACGTCGTGTTGAAACCCTAATCGAAGCAAACGGTGGCCACACGAAATATTGAAGCCCTTCTACTCTGTGTATGAAATAAACTGTTTCGAAACGATCTCCGTCTTCTTTACTTGTCCTCAACTGAAATGAATGTTACCAAGAGTATATAACCCCCCAAGAGTGTGCAACTCTTGATACCCTTTCTATGGGGTACGCCGACGGCGAAAACTCACATCACGTTATGCAGTGTCTCAGTGGTACGTTTCCAGCCCGTTTTTAGCGAGCAGTGGAGTAATAAAAAAGCACTCTCTGACAGAAACTCACTACGCGTATGCAAATCCCCAGCATGATCATGGCAGATATTCGGATTTCGCGCACGCTATCCTTCGTTTGCATGTAGTACGAAGATATCTGAGACACGTGATGTGAGTTTTCGCCGGTGGAGACCACATATGCAGAGTTGCACACTCTTGGGGGGTTATAATCTTGATGTTACTCTTCTCTTTGTTTGGCGCGGTTTTTTACACTTTGGTGTAAGCATGCATGCGTATGAGTACAGCACATGCACAGTTCATGTGGCACACGTGCACACTAGCACTTGTACAACTTTGAGGGCGTCAAGGGCCGCATCATCAATTCAACACCCGTGAACAGGAATGTTTTGGTGTGTGCAGAGATGTCCATAAATGATTCGAAAGAGTTCTTAGTATTGTATACTTGCGCCCATCATATGCCCCTCAACCCACAAGAGGAATATTGCAACATTACTTTGGCTCAAAAAGAATGCAAACTAATCAATCTCGCACCCAGCACTAAAGCATGTATTGGGTTTTTCCAGCTTTAGTTTGTAAACAGTTTGTCAATTGACTTATCACAATGTTGTGCGTGAGACTGCCTCACTTCGTAGTGGATTGTGCATTATACCCTATATATACTTTTCTGATGGATAACGCATTAGAATGTCTGGTCATGTGTGCTACCTGTACACAGGACGGTAGTCTTCCTGTTTATTGCGCTGCCGCAAATGGGCATCTGGAACTCGTCAAGTATCTACTAGATCTCCAACCCGAAACGATCTCTGTGAATGGCTATGTAAGTTAAGCAATCTCCATCATTGACTCTCCTTGCTGTAGTCAGTTACTCCTACAGCACTCTCCTTGCCAATGAAGACTACTGTGCTAGCTATATGTCAATTGCTGGGGAGTATCAGGCCGAAACAGCAACCCCACCGGGTTGATATACTCCAAAAGTACCTGTGAATATTGGTGACTTTCCTGGCCGGCACTGATAGCTGCACAAAGCACCTCCATTATGCATTTGGTTCACATAAACATTGGTTATGATTAAGAAAGGAAAAGGACGAAATGTTACGAGTTATGGCAAACTATCCACCAACGTAACCAGATATTATACAGTCAGCGAGTTCGACAAAATGGCCCAAAACTGACAAGAAGTACTGAGGCATTCGGCGACCTGACACCTAGCTTTTCCTTTCTTCATCATAACTATATTGGCTCACCACACCAGTTCAAATAAACATTGGTCTCAATCATTTCTGATGTGACCTCATGGACACACTCATCATCAATTCAACACCCATCAACAGGAATGTTTCTGGGTGAGCAGAGATGTCCACAAATGATTCAAAAGAGTTCTTAGTATTGCATACTTGCGCCCATCATATGCCCCTCAACCCACGAGAGGAATATTACAATATTATTTTGGCTCAAAAAGAATGCAAACTAATCAATCTCGTACCCAGCACTAAAGCATGTATTGGGGTTTTCCAGCACTAGTTTGTAAACAGTTTGTCAATTGACTTATCACAATGTTGTGCATGTGACTGCCTCACATCGTAGTGGATTGTGCATTATACCCAATATAAGTACTTTTCTGATAGATATTATTATTATTATTATACGCATTCCCGCGTTGAAGTGTAGCAGCAGTATGCTGCGTCCACAGCTTCGCTTATGCAGAATGGCTTGGGTGAGAGGAGAGGGGAGAGAAAGCAACAAGGCAACCAACATCTATGAAATTGGTCACAATAACATGAAGAGAACCAACCTACATACATGTACGCATGATTGCACAAGAATGGAGACGACCAAATATAATGGCTATAATCATTGTGCCACAAAACCGGTACACAGGAGATCTGACGACAATGTAACGAAACATAAAACTCAGTTACTCAATACAGGTTCCACTAAATTACAAGAGAACAACGCTACAACGTTAGAATTGCCGCTAAATTATCGCAAGTGTAGAGAACGAGTCCAATACAAATGAAAACCATGAACAGACTGTCCCGAAGTTATTTTGGGAACAAATTGTACTACATGACTGTACTTGCTGATACTGACGCTGACGGAACACGAATTTGAGTTGAATACTCACGAAGTCTTGTACATGCACATCATTATGCGCCGGTGTTGTGGAGTAAGCAGGTGCGTCAGTCACCAATCCAGCTTCAGCTCCACGCTCGCTTCAGCAGAATGTTGCCCGCGTTTGCTTTGCCTCCACACGGATAGACGACCAGCGCAGAGTCCCGCAGCTCCGTGGCCGTAAGGTCTTGATATTCGCCGTTAGCGCCGTCAAGTCTCAGTCCACCTCTCACACCAAGCCGCCCTATAAAAATCTTTCTCTCTCCATTGGAGTGCTCCCCAGTTGCGCGAGGAGACTAGAGAAATTCCTCCGGTGAGCGAGGAAGAAGAGCGGAGTTACCCAACTCAACCTAACAATATAGATAACGTATAGAAATGTCTGGTTATGTGTGTTACCTGTACACAGAACGGTAACCTTCCTGTTCATGGCGCTGCCTTTAAAGGGCATCTGGAACTCGTCAAGTATCTACTAGATCTCCAACCCGACACAATCTCTGCAAAGAACGATGTAAGTTGAGCAATGTCTATCGTTGATACCCCTTAAGCATTTTTTCCAGAACACGGTTTGAGCAATATATGCAACAAATAACATCTAGTCACTCGCGCCAGGCCAGAGCAACAAACCTTAACCTTACGGATTCCACCATCGGCCAGTAGAGCAGACCATGGCACACCAATCACTCTTGGGTCCATACAATGGCCCTCCCTACATACTAAAGTGATGTAAATATATTTCCTGGTGTATGTGTGTGTGGGGGGGGGGGGGCGTGCATGCGTGCGTGCGTGAGTGCGTGTGTGCATACAGCAAGGAAAACCAACTGTCTTAGTCGTTCTATGCTGATGTACTTCGTGTTGTGCAGACCACGTGTGCATTGTTGGTCGATTCTCATAACTTCACAGGTTGTATTGATTACAGTCCATTCGGAAAAAGTTGAGCGCTGGCTCTGGAGAGCTCCCGTATTTGGCGATTTTGTGGTACACTGTGCAATGCCGAGAGATTCGAAACTTGAAAAAGGGTCCAAAAAAGGTACCGCAACTGGGTTTCGAACCGGAAATGTACTGTTATGCAAGTGGAGTGAACGGCCTGCATTTTCATGGTTTTTCCCCAATTCAGTGCTTTGGGGGCAAAACCTGGCCGAAATCCTTTTCTTGTTATGGCTAACTCTTTGGAAAACTAGACTTCAAAAGCACAATTGGAAGAGAATTCCATGGGGGACTGCCTAAATAAATAAGACGGAAACTTAAAATTTGACCCATTTATGGCCAGAAGCTAGGATATCATTCTTTTCTGAATGGACTGTAGGCTGATATCTGGCACTAGTCTTGATCTGTCTCATTCAGATCTTGTCCACTATCATTGCTATCGTTTGCGTGCTTCTTTTGTGACGGGAGTACACATGGTACACGGTGTGTATGCGTGTACATGTATGTGTATGTGTTGGGGGAGGGGGAGGGGGAGGGGGGAGGGGGTGTATGTGCATGTTTGTGTGTACATGTATATATTAGGGCTGAAACGATTATATCGGTTATCCGTATAATTGATCATAAAGCAGGATTCACAGAAGCATTTTGCGTTGTGACACACGATGCGACGGTTGCGAAACTGGGAAATCCCCAAATCGCAGCCAACTCGCAGCCCATTTAACTGCCGCAACTGGGCCATCGCAGAAGTTGAGCTCGGCTCAACTTTTGCGATGCGACAAACGATTTGGCGTACGATTTTGACCTTTTCTACAGCAAAGTTGTACAAAGATTCAAGAGTTGCCCGAAAACTTGTACAAGTTGTACCAAACCGCGTGAATACCATGGTGGCGTACCTGCCTGCATTGAACTTCGCGCCAAATCAGCAAGGTATCATCGCTTCGGGGACTTCGCCTATGAATGGTATTTCGTGAGTTTGCATCGCACGTCTCCGTCGCAAATCGCGTCGCATCGCCAATCGCATAGCAAAAAAAGCTTCTTTGAATCCCCCCTTACAACGAAGCGACTAAGATTATGCTGTCTATTTCGATAATGCGATTCTAAAAAAATAAAAAAATAAAAGGAATTAAAACGTGTACAAGATGTCATGCACATGACTGTACTACGTAGTAGTAGGATCCGATAATGTTGCGTACATAAGTCACCGGAGGATGTACCCAGTGTGCTGACGGTGCTCAACACCACGAAAACAGAGCGTTTTTTTGCCAGCTAGCTGGCCTCTGCGTACACCGCAGACACACCCACACACAACAGAAAGATACAGATCACAGTAGTAGTGTGGTATTTGTTCACTCACGATGATAGTTGTGTGTAGTAGTGTGGTTTTTGTTCACTCACGGTGGAAGATGGAAGAGCGTAGTGTATAGATGAGCATGAAGAAGGGCATGCCACCTCACGCATATACATGTACACGTATGTACCAGACCAACATGATGCAAGAAGTGAACCACTGTGGCGAATGGGGCCGCCGGATAATTTACCAGCCCAAAGCTGGCGGAACCTCAGGACCCCGGCGGAGGCACATCCCTGAGGAAAAACCGGTTAGAATAACCCCATAAGATAAACGAACCAAACGTAGCCTGCAGGACCTATCCCGAAGTGAGAATAAACGGGAGGGCGGGTGGTAAACTACAACGAAAAGAGAGAGACCACGATGAAGAGAAAAGTTTGAGAACACTGACAAAAAAACCAGCTGACGCAATCCTGGTGCCGTAACTATGGTGAAAATGCTGGGAAAAAATACATTTTTCGTTTTATTCGCTACGCTCAGCCAACGAAAAATAACACTTTTTGCCAGCTAGCTGGCCTCTGCGTACACCGCAGACACACCCACACACAACAGAAAGATACAGATCACAGTAGTAGTGTGGTCTTTGTTCACTCACGACGGAAAGGATAGCTGACCCGATAGTCACTTGTGTAGTGTAGCGCGAGACACCGACAGCAGGTCCTTGAGGGAATCCTCCACATACATGTTCTTACATGTGGATGACTTCCAACCCCCTTGCCGCTGAAGAAGGCGCTCTTGCACGCCAGCATTGGCCGCTGCCGTCGCTCCCCCAGAGTGGAGACTGTGCGTGCCATACCCTGTGGGGTCTTCACCTACGCGGGCGAGAGCTGTGTGAATCAATTCGCGCGCCCGGGCGTATGTCATCTTTCCCCGCAGACATGACTGGTGGGTTGCTGCGGAGACCTTGCCAAAGAGAGGTTGAGTGAGTACATGCCGTGCTCTCTCCAAGAAACCCTCTTTGACCGACACAGGACATGGTTTAGTAGCCTGCTGCTCCAGTCGGCTCACCATGACCACATCGCCCTGGCGCAACTGGTCGTTCTTGCGTTGTCGCAGGTGGAGGGACATGTGCGTGCCGCAAATGGAGATATCCTGAGGCGTGAGGCGTTGTAAATCGTCCCAGCGAAGCAGAGCAGTGAAGCCGAGGACAAACAACGCTGCGGTTTGCCAGTCCTGCAACGGGGCGGTAGGGATAGCCAGTGTGGCGACGACCTTGTTGAACACCACCGACCTCAAAGGTGAGCGGCGATTGATTGGTCGGGCACAAATACGTCTTGCAGCAGTGAGCAATTGTCTCACCACGCTATGTTGGGTGGGATCCTGGCAATCCGCCTTACAATGCACTCAGTGCAATGCCGCCACAAATTGGTTTATTGGCCCCATGGTACACTGTGACTACAATAACTTCACGATGTATAAGCACACGCTGGTGGGTGCCGCCGGGAATGACGGAACTTGACACCGTACGGCCCACTTTTCCCATCAGTGTAAAGCGCGCTGGTACGCAGACGCAGTGGAGCTAGCAACATCCTTCCAAATCACTGTCCTTAGCAGGTCCGCCAGAGGTTTCAGGGACGATTGTGTCACAGCGTCCACCTCGACCCAGAACGCGGATGGGCCTGACAAGAATGACACGCGGAGAAGCAAAAATAGGCAGAAACACGCAACCCAGTCAACAACAACAACCATGGGTCCTCATTAATGGCCACCGTAAACGGGCCCATGCATGATAGCAGCTCATTCCGTAGGCTTCCGAGCCACAAGCAAACCCGACCCCGCAGACAACAGCATTCCGTAGCACATTGTCCCCTTGGGCAAACACATGCACAACCTACCCACTAAGTTGGGGTGACCAACCCGCTCCCAGGGAGCTCCAGGCCTGCCTCTCATTGGCATGCAGATAACCCAGTGTCCCGTCGCACATTGTCCCCTTGGGAAAACACATGCACAACCTGCCCACCAGGTGGGAATGACACACACGCTCCCAGGGAGCTCACGCTCTGCCTCCCATAGGCATGCAGATCACCAAGTGTTGCACACCTTTGCTCCCAGGGAGCCTCACACACAAATGCATGTCCTCCATAGACTGTAGTGACTGCACTCTGCTAGCACTCATTTGCGCATAGGATCAAGCCCAGCCCATGTAAATCTACACCATTACTTTCCAAGACAAGAAAAGTCCAATAAATATGTCTCCTCCAAGGCCAGGGAACACTAACAACAAAACAAAAACAAAAAATATAGGGAACAAAATAGACCAAAGAACAAGAAACGGGAAACGAGAGACAGACCAAATAAGGTAGAAGCAAGAATGTGCAGCATGCTACTAGAAGACTAAGCTGGCACAACATACCATCCTATGGCAAAATTGATTCTCTGGACGTGTCAGACAGACAGGGTCAGTGTTTGAGATGGCCAACGTTCATGGGTTATGCGCCCGGCATGACGTCATCGAGCAGACCTGCATGAAGACAAATTGGAAAAGGCGGCAGGTCTGGACCAAACAGGCATGTTGGTTTGGACACATGCTGGAAAGCACCAAACGGCATAGACACGATTTCCGAGTCCGTAGCGAGATGACAAGGGCCATTTTCCGGCATCCACACAGGCCACCACGGGGCCGACGGCCAGAATGGGAATGCCACTACAGCGTGGCATGGTACATTGGCGAGGAACGCATAAAGGTCACCCAGCAGCGCCGGCGGTGGTAGACACCAGTTGACCTCACCTTCCCAGGCTTGGGTGAAACAGTCCACAGCTTCGCACCCTGGTGACCACGACTTGGAGTTGAAGCGGGGTGGTTGCGCTGATAGGTGGCGTGCAAAGCGATCCACCGTCAAGGGGCCCCATTTGGCGTTAAAATGGCGAAATAAAGATGGCTCCAACTGCCAGTCATTATCATCAATATTTCTCGACAAGTGATCCGCTGTGACATTGAGGTCCCTCGGGACCCACTGCGCAAACAGACGTGCCTTAATCGTGGTGGAAAACCGAAATATAGCAACAACTTGTTCCTGCAACTCAACCTTGCCGCTACCGTTACACAGGATCCTGACTACATTCTGGTTGTCAGTGTTGATGCAGATCTGGCGTTGTGCAATGTGAGTGCGAAGTGAGACCAAAGTGTACCGGACTGCGAGGAGTTCCCGCAAAGTGGAGCTACTGGTCCTGGCACTAGAGTGAAATGGCCATTCGCCTCGGGCAACCGCAACACCATCATGTAAACAGAACCCACC